AATCAGAAGATTAGATAGACTTTGAGAGAACACAAAGGGTGGTTGCACCTGAGCCAGTGCAAACGATTTTGAGCCATGTCATTCAAAGTCTCTAACCATCGGCGACTTTCGTCTCGTGGACCTCAAACAAGTAGTCTACATCTACCAACATGACTCAAATCTACTTGTCAGTGACTTCATGTTTTGGTTTGGCCGCCCCTAGCTTTCTTCCAACCTACTCCTACACTACAAAACATAGCTCGTCGAGGCACTCGGTGGTTAGGCATACCTAACACATGTCCCAACCGCCTCAACTGATGAAGTTTCACCACTTCATCTATTGATCTTCAATCCTTACCTAGTAATCGTTTCCTAACGACAGCATTGCTTACTCGGTTGTCCCATGTTATACGAGCAATGCTTCCTAAACATCTATGATCGAATACTAGTAACCTACGAGTGTCCTCTACTCTTAACGGCCATGTTTCGCATCCGTACAGTAGGACGAAGGGAACAGTGCACTCGTCCATGGTTAGCGAGCGTATATCTGGACCCTAACCAGGTAGCGCCTACATCTGCCAACATAACTCAGTCCACTTGTCAATGACTTCATGGATTTCTGCTATGTTTTTTTTAGTTTGCCCGCCCCTAATTTCCTTCCAACCCATACTCCTACACCACAAAACATAGCTCGTCGAGGCAATCGACGATTTAGACATTCATAACACATGTCCCAACCAGTTACAAACCTAATTCGATTTTCGTTTTTCTTTCAGGTAACATATTTTTTTTTAGATCCTTGTAAAATATTTTCTTTTCAAAAAAACAAACAAACAAACAAGAGAACACATTGAAATACAAACAAAAAAATTATTATCTATTACACAAGTTTTTATATATAGAACTTTTTGTTTTCGTTTTTTTTCATTCGTAAATGGAAACCAATCAGTTTTCACTGTTTGTCTATGTATATATATATATATATGCGTGTGTGTGTGTATATGTACGTGTGTGTCTGTCTATTCATGTGTCTGTTGTGTATCATTACTTGAAGTGGTAATAATAATAATAGTAATAATAGTAGTAATAGTAATAGTAGAAGTCATAGTAATGTTAGAGTAACATGTCTGATAATTTTACATAATGATGATAATTATTGTGTTTCGTGTGTGTGTGTGTGTGTGGGTGGGTGGGTGTGTGTAATTGAACAGAGAGAGAGAGAGAAAAAAAATGATAAAAACACATTTAAAAATAATAATAATCATAATAATAATAACAATGGCAACAATCAACTTTGATCATTCTATCGAACTATGATTGAAATTATTAGTATTAGTATTATTCACAAGAATACTACTAATAACATGTTGTTAGTAGTAGTAGTAGTGGTGGTAGTTGGAAATGAACATTAGAAATGATAGGTTGATGATAAAACAAATGGGATTTATCGTCGTAATAATAGTAATAATAGTAATAATCATGATATTTTCATAATTTTACTTAATTTCCATCAGTTTTTTTATCTGTGTTGATTGATCAGTGTGTTGTAATGAGGAAAATAAAGGAAAAGGGAAAAAGGAAAAAGGATTTCGCAACAATGAACATAACAACAACAACAAAATGAAAGTGTATCTATGCTGAGTTAGCGAAAAAAATAGGTAATAATTTTTCTCGCGGAAAAAACAAACACAACGTAACATTTTCTCAAAGATCGCGATGTACATGTATGTGAAATGAGAGCAGTAAAACGAAAACACACACGCTGATTGTGTATATTGAATACATTGAAGAGATCATTTGATAGTTGTTGCTGCTGCTGAATTTCTCATTGTTACACACAGGGGGTGGCGGGGGCTGATTGATGGGTGGGTAAATATGAATAGTGTTGTGAAGTAGAGAAAACTGATCACTTATCAATCTATCGTGTACAGAAATAATTCGAATAGTGATGAGGGGCAATGTGAATGACGACAATCCGGTACATTCTAACATTTACATACACTGTGCACATGCAAGTGAAATATGGATGGGGGGAGGTGGTGATGATTAGTTTATCAACAACAGTAAACGACAACACCGATAGAGATCCGTGTTTCTTCATTCAGATATACATATATATTACATAACTGATGATAATCTGAATAGTGATTACTAGTTGAAATGGGCATAGTATTAACATTACTACTATTATTAGTAATTTTTTTTATTAAAATGAACACATGAGAGAAACAATCCACAAAGCAAGATTAAAAATCAAATTTCAGAAATTAGTTCATACAACATTGATCGTGCCAAATGACAACAAGATAGTGAATGGAATAATCGGTCAACACAGATAATGAGTTGAATGGAAATCCAACAAATCAATCAATTTATTGACTAGTTCACAAATAATGACAGTGGGGGGTAGGAGGACTGGTAGTGACCAATTCGTCAGAAGAAGAAAAAAGTAGGTGATTGTGGAGGGAAACTATACACCATTGATGTGCGTTTGAAAATGTTGTCAATGTTGTTATTAGGGAACATTCTTTCATCAGAAATGAAACTGATTAGGTAAATTAAGAATAGATCAAGTGAGCTGCCTAACCAAACATGCACACACACACACACACACACGCCCACGCACACACATGAAGAGAGGAAGAGAGAGAGAGGGAGGGAGAATGAGAAACCAGAAAAGATAACCTTTTGTATGTAATATTAGTTTGTCAAAGAAACCTAGCAAAATGAAAGCAATTGATCATCGTCATAATCATAATAATAATAGTAATAATAATAATTGTAATAGTAATAGTAATTATAATGTACATACACCAATAAGTTACAAACTATATATCATAATAAGTCTTGTTTTAACCAGTTGATTGAGTGATTGATTGATTGATTGACAAGTTAGTGTATTTCATAAGTATACACAAAGAGAGAGTAAGAGAGAAAAGTGAGATGAAATCAAATCAGATCAAATCAAATGAACTCTATGCATAGTGTTTTGAATTAATGAGTCAGAAAGATAGAAAAACAAACATTTATCACTGTGTTATGAGTTTGTTTTGGTTTAGTTTGTTTTTCGTTTTGAATTTCACTTCGATGAATATTATCAATCCACCGGGGAGGGTGGGGGTGGTAGTGGTATTTGGGGGAGGGTGGGGGCGGTTAAAAAAAACAAACAAACAGTATAAGTGATTATTTCCTGATTCGTAGAGTTGTATTATCATGTATATACCAACCTTTCTATTAACCGGCATGAATATCTTGTAATGATGGTTGGGTTAGAGTGTCTTGTCCACCGACAGACGGTAGAAATCCACCAGCAGTATGATGTTGTTGATGCGGATGATGTTGTTGTTGCTGTGAATGATGATGCAGCTGCTGATGATGGTGATGATGATGACCAGTTACGTGATGATTATAATTAGATAAATTTAAATTTGCATGCCTGTTCGATATTGGAAATGATGGGGAAGATGAAGATGTCGGTGAGTCGGCTGTAGTATGTTGTAAATGTGCCGGTGGAATGTTGTTCATTGGATTAATTGATCCATTCAGCAAAGAATTATCATTATGTATTGGAGATAATGGTGTTGTTGTTGATGTTGCTGATGTCGTTGTTGAATGTCCATTAGTCATTCCTCTATAATTTGATGAATGATAATCAGTCGTTGAAATGGACAATGAAGAATTGTTACTTAAATTAGTAGTAGTAGTAGTTATAGGATAGTTACGTTTTAAATTTTGTTGTTGTTGTTGTTGTAGGGCAAGTGCTGCTGCATATTGAGCAACAGCCAATGTTGCCTTTTGCATACTGTCCACATCAGCAGAAGTACGTAGTTTGGATTCGTTTGTTGAATAATTACTATTATTATTGTTAATATTATTATCGGAAATATTGTTACTATTTTGAAATAGACCAAATTGTCCTGGAAATTGACTAGAATGTCTTCCAGGCAAATTATTATTCGGAGTATTCGATGATGGAGTTGGTGAAGGTGCTGAGTAAGGAGTATAAGGGAGATGACCACCGGCTAGCAGAGGTGGATAAGGACCACCAGCACCAGCACCACCCCCACCACCGGCAGCGGTAGCATTTCCAGGATTAGGGAATAATCCACCGCCAACACTATTACTACGTTGATAATTATTTGAATTGGGAAAATCAGAATCTGGATAATTTGACATATATCCTCCTACTCCACCTCCTCCGCCACCAGGAAGATTTGAACGTCCTCCAGAAGGTAAATGACAATCTAAATCACCGACGGAAACATTATTTCCAACTGCAGCGGCTGCAGCTGCTGCATAGAATTCTTCAGGACGAAGTGATGATGGATGAAAGCCTAAATAATTGAAATCAAAAAGGGAAGAAAAACTAGTAAAGCAATGACAAAACAGTAAATTACGGAAATGTTTTATCAAACACTGACATTCCTAATGTAAAAGGCATGATGTTTCACTAAAGAGTACAAATTAATTCTTACTGATGAACTAGTAGATCGATATAGAGTTCTACTCTAGACAATGGAACTACATCACAGTCATCATCCATCTGAGTTAGCCACCATTTCAAAATCAGATAAGGTATTAACTTTATTAGAAAAATGAATTCATTAGTCAATCAGTTATCAACAGTATAATACCTAGTGTAATGAACGCTACTCATAAAGTGACTTTAGAAGTCAGTCAGTCAGTTGCAGCGTAGAACTTCGTACGTAAGTACATCAGTTCTTGTCGCCATACCACATCAGCACAGAGATATAATTGTCAATTCAAATCCAATAGTAGAAGAGGTAGTAAAGGTATTAGAAGTTATCGGAGAGGTTAGGATTAGAAGATATTATTCACGAAGTATGATTCAATGAGATAAGTTTAGAAATTAAAAACTAGAGGTGTTGAAGAACCCAGAAGATTAAGATTTGAGAGAACACAAAGAATAAATGCACTGGCGCCATTGCGAACGATTTTGAGCCATGTCATTCAAGGTCTCTAACCGACTTTATAAGTAGTATACAATGGAGCATCGCTTAGAAGTGGCTATTATATTATGTTCATCACTAGGTATGCTTGAAGCTATTACGAGTTCATCTTAGTCGATAAACGCGAACGAGACAATGAACCAGCGTGCAGATAGGCTACCTTGAATCCCAAGCTGAAGTAAAAGGCTTTGTAAGCGTAGAAAGTATATTCTACAAACACCCAGCAATCACACAACTCTCGTTTATTTATACATCATAGAAACGTCCTTCGGACAGTTACGAAAATAGCACACTAAAATACACAGCAGCCAATCACAGCCATGGATTTTCCTGGTGGGAAATGTGTGATCTCAAGGTCAACTGATCAGCCAATGCTGGCAAACGTGAAATCCAAAATAAGGCATTTCTCAAGCGAGTTCTGGGGATCTAACATGCCCAACATATTAAACAGAGTAGTATCAGGATATTACAACGTCTATCGTCATCAGAAAAGATATGAGAGAAGACAATCAAAGACCCTGTTTGTACCATAAATGGAGGTTTGAAGATTATATGTACGGATAGACAAAATGAATCCACAACATCGAAAGTAATAAAATTATTTTAAATCTCAATGTATTTGAAGGAGACATGGAGATTGTTGTTTGTCACTGAAATGATGAATTAATCATTTTTAGACTACCATTAGAAACCTAGAAGCACTGGGCAGCCGCTTCATCCTAGGATGGGACTCATCAACAGTGTGTATCCACAACTTCTGTTACTAGTATGACTCGAACCCAGGATCTTTAGTTTTGCGCTCTAACGCCTAAGCTCCAAGCTATTCAACAGGCCAGTATCCAAAGGTAAGAATGTCTAACTCCGATCAATCTATGAATTTCGCACAACTTCACCCATTTGTCTTCTATAGCTACTAGAACCCCCCCCTGACCCGATAGGGTTGATTTCCACTGATCACATCTTCAAAAAAGAACTCAAACAGTGAATGCATGCATATATGTATGTCGTGAATTCCAATGAAATTCATTTCACCTTGTCGATTATTTCCACTGTAAATAATGATAACTCTCCACTTGTTGTCCTTAGTGTATCTCTCTCTTTCCCTCTCTCGATTGATTTCAAACTTCAAACTGTTTGCTACGTTAACTAAACAAAATAATAATAATCTAGGATTATTCCACCTTAATTCACTTGTATTTTTTTCAAAAACAAAAAACTTATCCCTTCTACTTCTACTGATGATGATTTATGTGTTTATTGTCAAATGACACAGTGAGAGAGAGAAAAAAATATCTATTTAGCGAAGTCATTAGAATGAGTCATGAGATAAAAATAGAAATTAATGAAAAAAAAACTAAATACATTAGACTAATAACAAAGTATATGTATAAATAGACACACACACACACACACACTATCAATCCATTTTGATGAAAAATCAATTCAGATAATTTTATTTAATGTTATCAATAGTATTTTATTATTATTATTATTATTATTATTATTATGACTGGTCTTCTATCTTACTCATTATAATATTAAAAAAAAACGACATATTAATCACAAACATTAATTAGTCATAATCATAGAAATCAGAATTCATTAATTTGATGGGATGTGCGTGTGTGTTTGCGTATGTGTGTGTATGTGTATGTGTGTTTTGTGTGTGTTTGTGTGTACTTATGCTAGAAAAAACTAATATGAGTGTGGGATAGACATACACAATTAAATACATCATATCTATTTTCATTTGAATGAGAATAGTTTTGATAGTTTTAATGTGCACTCTCTGTGCACATTAACTTTCAATTAAATTTAAAATCATCATTATCACAATAGTAATAATAATAATCAGTAGTATAATAGTAGCAGAGTAGTATGACTTTTGCTTTTAAAACAAATTGGAAAATGGATGAAAGACAAACAAGGTGGGAATTGTCGATTTCGCTTCATATATTTGTACATGTACACGTCAACACAAACTAATATGATTTGTTTCTGTGTATATGTCAATAGTAGGTGCGTATGTATCAGTTCAGTGTGTGTGTGTCATTTCTAAATGAAAGCCGATTGTTATTGGTCAAAATAAAGTAATGCTCTTGAAGCATATTATGAGAGATTACTTTTATGAATGATTCTATAAATGCTAGTTTTGTGTTGAGTCTCACTCAGCGAAGGAAGAAACTAGGAAGAAGCGCTAGAGGTGGATAGGACACACATTGAAGAAAGCATCTAAGTGAATCATAGGACAAGCCGTGACTTGTAGCCCTCAACGTCAAAGGAAAAGTGGAAGACCCATGAACGCATTACGTCGAGAATTAGAAGCAGACATGAAAAGAATGAACAGCAATTGGATAGAACCAGGAAAGGAGGACCAAGGACATTGTAGGTTGGAAAATGTTGGTTAGCAACCTATGCTCCATTAGGGGTAAGCTGGTAAATCCAGCTGATCAGTCTCTAAACTGACGAGCTTCATGAGGGTGTGAAGCAGTTACCTACCGAAGACAATGGGTGGGATTGTGCGACTGAAGTTAAACATAAATACCATTGGATGGCGTCCGGCCCAGTGGTCTAGAAGTTAAGTGTTCTTGCAAAAGGCCGAAGGCTTTGAGTTTGGTTCCCTGGGGTGGGGGTGGTGGATGCGCACTGCCACTGATGAGGATAAAACGACATCAATCCAAACTCAATAATCTTTACAACTGATTGATGAAAAATCACAAGAATTTCATTGAATTCAGTACAACAATAAATATATATTTTCGGGCAGAGTTTTGTAGGTTTTGTGGTTTTACACATTTGAAATCATTAATCAATCAATCAATCATTGTGAGACCACGCGATTAGAAACCTGGAAGCACTGAAAGACGGGCGTTTCCCTGTCCTGCTATGGGACTACTACTCATCAGTGGCAGTACGCATCCACGACTCTTGCACCTCGAACCCGGGACCTTCGGTATTGTGCGCGAACACCTAACCATCGGACCACTGTGTTGGCATCCAACGGTGTTCAATGTCTAACTCTGAGTGATCAAGGGATTTTTGCGTGACCTCACCCATAAATATATATATATATATATATATATATATATATATATATATATATATATATATATAATCATATATATACATGCATACAAATACTCTACTTACCTGGTCGTCCATAAGCAGCAAAATGTTGGTTATCCATATAAGGTAAACATCCTGCTGCATCGGGAGGATAACCATGTGGTCCTATTCAGTTGAAATAAATAAATAAATATGTCATATATATATATATATATGATATGTATCGGTGGGGGTGGGGCGGCGACAGAGTGGAACTACTTTCTCTTACACATCACTCTAGTCCCCCTCACACTACAGACACACACACACACAGTCGATGAATGCAACAAACACCAGTTGAACTAGACATTTATTACATACAAATAACATGAAAATGACCAAGCAACTACAAAAAAAAACCACTTAATTCATGATCAAATTACAAGTTTCTAGTTATCTTTAAAGTCAGTCAGTTTAGGAAGTAAATTGAATAAATAACAATAATCATGACATTGAGGTGTAAGATGTAAAAATCATAGATTATGCATATAAATAAATTAATTGTGTGTTCTTAATTTAATTTGTGTGACCTATATCTAGTTCTACTAATATTCTCTATCTCTCTCTCGTTGGCTGGCTGGCTCGCATGTGTTTGCATGTGTTTTTTTGTTGATGAAAATTAGACAAACACACAGGAAGAATTAAGAAAACATGTGAAATAATTTATAAATATGAACTAGTGTCATTATTCAAAGGACTGTGTCTGGAGTCGTCCTGGGATTACTACGGCGGTCCGAAAGCTTGGATTAAAGAGGAGGGTTGAGTATGGGGTTAGTGAAGCCATGTTTGTAGAAGTCAAACTCGGTAGAAAAAAATCGCTAACCAAAAAAGATATGTGGTGCGCGCTACTTATAAGTAGTATATGACGCGAGTGAAAACGTAATGTCTGGCAGCAGAAGATGGGGGGAAGATCAAGAAAGGAAGAGTTAGAAGAACACAATGGAATTTGTATGAAACGCATGAATAGTGAGTGAAATGTCAGACAATGGATTGATGATGATTGATTGAAGATTTGCAAATTAACGATTTACAATATGGTTTTCCTATTTTACTGAGTAACTCTGTAATTTTCGTTCTCCTTCACTACAGATACTCTATTAGGGGTAACAGGCGTAAGTAAGTATGTAAGTAAGTCACAAGATTTGTAGATTAATGAATTGAATCACTGACAGCGTGAATGATGTGTAATTAATAAGATCATTTATTATTTACGTAGTCCATAGTTTTCAATAGGACTCCCGCAACCAAGTACCAATTTATGAGTTAAACTGATCACTAACAAAAAATACTCTTCTCAAACATTCATTAAATGTTTAATCAAAAGTCTTCGTATAGGACTCATCATTGGAAGTGCATGTCCTTACAGGTGGGTATCGAACCAAGGATAATAGATCTCGCGAGTGTATCTTTAATCGTGTTGTGTGTAAGGCAGTCCACTACCGAAGACAATAGATAGTGATCTCACAATATCATGGGCTGATTAAAGTTAGACATTAACCTAACTGGATTTCGATCGGTTCAGTGATCAAGAAGTAGAGCATTCGTGTACAAGACCGAAGGCTTTTCATTCACCTACCTATGATGGGTGTTGTGGATGCACACTGCTATAGATGAGCCTTATTCTAGGATGAAACAGCTGTTTAGTGCTTACAGATTTTTAGTGGTTGTTTGAACAACAATGTACATCAGTTCAAGTTGCATTACCACATTAGCACACAGAGATCGAATGGTCAATTCAACTCCGATTATAGTGTAGGTACTAGAAGTATTGAGTAATAGAGAAGATCAGTGATCGAATATACGATTTGAGAGGTATAAACTAGTGAAATAAATTTATAAGAAATTCAGAAGGATTAGAATTTGAGAGAAGACAAAGAATGGATTCATCTGCACTATTGTACACGATTTTGAGCAATGTCATTCAAAGTCCCTAACCATCGGTTACGACTGTCTCTCACGGATACCAACCACCTGGTCTACACCTACACTAACATGGCTCAGTGTAGTTGTCAATGACTTCATGGATTTGTACCATGTTTTGGCTTAGTCACCCCTACATTTCATCCATTTACATATTTTGCTACAATTAGATCAGCAACTCCTTATCAGTTTCAAACAATATATAACCTAGAACAGTTAGTTGTATAATACTTACCTGCTCGATTTGATTGATCAATCATTGGTTGAACAATACGTCGTCGAGCATTAATAAACCTGTTTTTTTGTGCGAAAAGTGAAAAAAATGAACAAAAATTCTTTTTAATCATCATACAATAAATACGTATTTAATAATCTTGACTATTGAACGCTTTAAAACAAACTAAAAATGATCAATGTTCAATTAACTTGTATCGTTTTACAATCTACTCTTGAATTATGCAGTATTTAGGCATTTAATGAAATAATGAATGAAAAAATCTTTACCAGGAACTTGCCATTAAAATGATACTTTATCAACCAGAGACAAAACCTACAATTATTCATGACTCTCAGATAGTAGACAAAACTAGAAAGGAAGCTACAGGAAAGAGTAGGTTAGAGAATGCTAGTCAGCGGTCTATACTCCATTCGAGTGTAACAGGTGAAAGTAAGAAGAGATTAATGAACTTGGCATTAAAATGGTTTATATTTCTAATATGATACAGTCAATAATATATATTTCCCAATATAACTGATGATGATACCCCACACACTGAACATGTTGAAACATCCTTAGTTACGATTTCTGGTTAGAAATTTATTAATAACCTATCCTGAGTTCGATCATCAGTGGATGTCGGCTGAAGTTAAGTATTATAACACCGACAGATGCCAGTCAGCTCGTTGATCTAGAGCTCAGACATCTGAAGGTCCTGGGTTGGAGTCCTGCTAATAGGAGTCGTGGATGCTCGTTGCCACTGATGCGTCTCATACTGTAGTGAATGAGAACACAGGTGAGGGCAACTGAATTGTATTTAACGAAAATTACACAGTTACTCAGTAAAATCGGAAAACCATATCGTAAATCGTTCATTTGCAAAAGATCAGTTCATCCTATGGAACTGGACGGTTCCTGTTGCAAAACATCAATCCATTGTCACTCACTGTTCATGCGTTTCATACAAATTCCATTGTTTCTAACTCTTCCTTTCTTAATCTTCCCCACATATTATGCTACCAGACTTTACGTTGACACTCACGTTATATACTACTTATAAGTAGTTCGCACCACAGCACCACAATACCATTACTAAACTACCGTTCAGTGCTTGTGGGTTCCCAATGGGGTATTCTAACATTGATGGATAGATGATTTCAATGTGTACCAATGAATAGTTGCCTCATTTAAAAAATTAAAAGGAATTCAAATCGCGTCTCATTTGAAAGATTTTTGTTATTCATATTTTGATGAAATCAGTTGTTTTTTTCTCGAAAATAAATTATTCTCTCTCTCAAAAAAAAAAAAATTAATCTTCTCAAAGTCAAGAAATATTCTTTACAAACAAAAGAAGGAGGAGAACATGTTGTTGTTAGCATTAGTCACTTGAGAATAAACAGTCGAATAATTCTTATTGTTGTTATCGTTGCTGTTGCTGTTGTTATGCCCTCAAGATGAACAGATGAATAAATAAATAGAGGGTAATGGTCGGGTGGTGGGGTGGATGGATGGCGGGGGGGGGGTGCGCGTAAGCGGAAGGAAATAAACACACATATCAATTGAGCATTCATTTGATTTTTGTTTCTTTTTAAAAAAATTCAAAATATTTTAATCTTTTGGTCAGTAGTGTAAAGAGGGGGGTGGGGGTGGGGAAGGAGGATAACAGACATTGATAGGCATGTTATTATCACTATTAATATTATTAAAATCATTATAAATACTACTGATATATTTATGTGTATCGTTTTATGCCTAAGGGGATAAAATAATATATATCATTATTATTCAGGCTATTTACTCGCGGAAATGACTGTGTTATTTCTATGCCATGGAGCATAAGAGAAATAAAATAGAAAACAAACATTCTTAGACAAATGTAAATAAAAGCCGGGATTTTAACGTTAGATACAAAAAATTTACATTGAACAGAAAGGAAATATGACTGATTAGCGATGGAATCTTAGATAGTGCAGTATAGTTCATTCGATTTGAGACTTGTCAGTTGGATATACTCATTCTGGGATTCGAAAACAGTACTTAATTGCTTCAAAAGGCTATCTTGTTATCTCTGCTTAGTTACTGAGTTCAAATAGATGTTTTACTGTTAGATACAATGGTTTACATAAAAATAGAGAGAATATAACCAGTATTCGAATCCTAGTTGGATATATCGTCAACTCTGAGTTGTTATTCATACTGGAACTCATAACCAGTAGTGAACTGTTTCAAAAGGCTGGCTACCTTGTTATTTCTACTTAGCTATTGAGTTAAAATATCTATTTGAATTCAATAGCTAAGTAGAAATAACAAGGTAGCCAGCCTTTTGAAACAGTTCACTACTGGTTTATGAGTTCCAGTATGAATAACAACTCAGAGTTGACGATATATCCAACTAGGATTCGAATACTGGTTATATTCTCTCTATTTTTATGTAAACCATTGTATCTAACAGTAAAACATCTATTTGAACTCAGTAACTAAGCAGAGATAACAAGATAGCCTTTTGAAGCAATTAAGTACTGTTTTCGAATCCCAGAATGAGTATATCCAACTGACAAGTCTCAAATCGAATGAACTATACTGCACTATCTAAGATTCCATCGCTAATCAGTCATATTTCCTTTCTGTTCAATGTAAATTTTTTGTATCTAACGTTAAAATCCCGGCTTTTATTTACATTTGTCTAAGAATGTTTGTTTTCTATTTTATTTCTCTTATGCTCCATGGCATAGAAATAACACAGTCATTTCCGCGAGTAAATAGCCTGAATAATAATGATATATATTATTTTATCCCCTTAGGCATAAAACGATACACATAAATATATCAGTAGTATTTATAATGATTTTAATAATATTAATAGTGATAATAACATGCCTATCAATGCCCGTTATCCTCCTTCCCCACCCCCCACCCTCGCCTTTACACTGACCAAAAGATTAAAATATTTTGAATTTTTTTTTAAAGAAACAAAAATCAAATGAATGCTCAATTGATATGTGTGTTTATTTCCTTCCGTTTAAGCGCTCCACCCCCCCCCCACCATCCATCCATCCAACCACCCCACCCACTACCCTTTATTTATTGATTTATTTGTTTATCTGTTCATCTTGAGGGCATAACAACAGCAACAACAACAATAAGAAGAATTATTCGACTGTTTATTCTCAAGTGACTAATGCTAACAACATGTTCTCCTCCTCCTTCTTTTAAGAATATTTCTTGACTTTGAGAAGATTAATTTTCGTTTTTTTTGAGAAAAAACACAACTGATTTCATCAAAATATGAATAATAATAATAATATTTCAAATGAGAGGGGTGATTTGAATTCAATGAGGCAATTATTGATTGGTACACACTTGAAATCATCTATCCATTATTGTTAGACTACCCCATTGGGGGGAACCCACAAGTACTGAACAATCGTTTCATTCTAGTATATGGAACACGTCAGTAACAGTGCGTACCCATAACTCCAACTAGGACCATCAGATTTGTGCTAGTGAATGCCACATCTCTGAACCAGTGAGCCGACTGGCATCCGTCGATGTTATAATACTTAACTTTAGCCGACATCTACTGAGGATCGAACTCAGGATAGGTTATTTATAAATTTCAATCCAGAAATCTTAACTAAGGATGTTTCAACATGTTCACTAGGTGGGCTACCATCATCAGTCATATATTACTGTTGACTGATTCACATTAAAAATATAAACTATTTTGATGCCAAGTTCACTAATCTCTTCTTACTTTCACCTGTTACACTCAAATGAAGCATAGGCCGCTGATCAGCATTCTCTATCCTGTGACTTCCTTTCTAGTTCTGTTCATTATCTGAGAGTCTTGAATAATTGTTAGGTTTTGTCTCTGGTTGATAAAGTATCATTTTAATGGCAAGTTCCTGGTAAAGATTTTTTCATTCATTATTTCATAAAATGCCTAAATACTTGACGGTTTAAGAGCAGATTGTAAAAAGCTACCAATTAATTAATAGGTCAATTGAACATTGATCAATGAAGTTTGTTTTAATGCGTACTTAATTAAAGCGTTCAATAGTCAAGATTATTAAATACGTATTTATTGTATGATGATCTATTTTAATTGTTTGATTAAAAAAGAATTTTTGTTCATTTTTTTCACTTTTTGCACAAAAAAAAACAGGTTCATTAATGCTCGACGACGTATTGTTCAACCAATGATTGATCAATCAAATCGAGCAGGTGAGTATTATACAACTAACTGTAATAGGTTATATATTGTTTGAAACTGATAAGTAGTTGTTGATCTAATTATGATATATAATATATATGTGAATGAAAGCTAGGAGCTGCTAAAACCAAAAATGTGATACAAATCCATGAAGTCATTGACACTTGGACTGAGCCATGTCAGTGTAGGTGTAGGCGACGTGGTTGGAGTCCGTGAGAGATAGTCGTAACTGATGGTCATAGAATTTGAATGAGATGGTGCAAAATCGTTTGTAGTGGCTCTCGTGCATCCATTCTTTGTCTTCTCTCAAATTTTAATTCTTCTGAATTCCTTATAAATTTATTTCACTAGTTTATACCTCTTGAATCATATATTCAATCCTTAATCTTTTATATTACTCAATACTTGTAGTACCTATACTATAATCGGAGTTGAATTGACAATTCGATCTTTGTGTGCTAATGTGGTATTGCAACTTGAATTGATGTACATACGTACTAAGTTCTACATTGTTGTTCAAACAACCACTAAAAATCTGAAAGCATTAAACAGATGTTTCATCCTAGAATAGGTCTCATCTATAGCAGTGTCCATCCACAACACCCAGCATAGGTAGGTGAATGAAAGGCTTTCGGTCTTGTACACGAACGCTCTACTTCTTGATCATTGAACCGACCGAAATCCAGCTTGGTTAATGTCTAACTTTAATCAGCCAATGATATTGTGCGATCATCATCTATTGTCTTCGGTGGATGACTGCCTCACACACAACATGATTAAAGATACGCGCGTGAGACCTATTATCCTGGGTTCGATTCCCACCTGCAAGAACATGCACTTCCAATGATGAGTCCTATTCGAGGACTATTGATTAAACTTCAATAAATTTTTGAGAAGAATATTTTTTTGTTGGTAATCAG